AGTGGCAGAGTAGAGGCGGGAAATGTGACGCTAACAAGTGCCCGCCCACAAGCCACCTCCAGGACCCATTAAATCACAGGCACGGGCAGAGGCAGGCAACCCGGCGAAACCATTCTTTCCTGAATTTGTAAGAAAATTAGGTTTAAACACTATAAAATTTAAAAGCAAATCTCACAACTACTTTTGTGAAAACACTTTTAAAAGAGAACTGAACAGATTGCTAGGAAACAGATTTTGTCATCTTTCGTATATCCAGCTACACTGCTTTACATGATTGGAATACAACTGCCAAACTCACGAAATGCAGATTCCTCCAACTCCTGTAAAAGCTTCAGTACATACAAGCCGGGGGAAATTTTTCAGTACCCTGACTGCTTGTTTTTTCATACTAAAGGGGAATTCCGACTGATCTCGTGGTTGATACAGCTTTTTTGCTTGAAAATATGGGTGGCTCTTAAAAGAGCCGTTGATTAAAACCTTATGCATTATAGTGCAATTATGCCCTCTCTCCGCGGATGCGGCGCGCGAGCTGGATGTCCTTGGGCATGATGGTGACCCGCTTGGCGTGGATGGCGCACAAGTTGGTGTCCTCAAACAGCCCCACTAGATAGGCCTCGCAAGCTTCCTGCAGCGCCATGACGGCCGAGCTCTGGAAGCGCAGGTCGGTCTTGAAGTCCTGCGCGATCTCGCGCACCAGGCGCTGGAACGGCAGCTTGCGGATCAGCAGCTCGGTGGACTTCTGGTAACGGCGGATCTCGCGCAGCGCCACGGTACCCGGCCGGTAGCGGTGCGGCTTCTTCACGCCGCCGGTGGCCGGCGCACTCTTGCGGGCAGCCTTGGTAGCCAGCTGTTTGCGCGGGGCTTTGCCGCCGGTGGACTTGCGAGCGGTTTGCTTCGTCCGAGCCATTATTACACTTTGTGAAGCTCTGAAACCTATGTACCCTATTCGGAACAAGGTCCCTGCCTTATATTTATAGTATGTACCGTGTGGTGATTGGATAACAACAGTACCTCTTTATGAAGTAGCAGGCTCTGATTGGTTTGTTTTTAAAGCACTTTCATTGGTTACTATTTTCAATCCCCTGTTCCAGGTTTTTCTCTTCCCTTTTCTGCATTTTATCTTTATAAATTTAAAGCACGTTTTGTTTGTTTTTATAAAATTAGTCATTGATTTCCATGATAAATTTAATAAACCAATTCTATTTTGGGAAGATGGGCATAAATAGTGCCTATCCACTCCGTAAGTGCCCTATTTGCACTTCACTTGTTCATTTTTGAAATATAGGGTTAGTTTCTGACATTTTTTGCAAAAATTGGATTCCTGTATTGTTAACATTTAGCAAGGGCTGTTACAGAAACCGAAACAACATATCATATTTAGTAAAACTACATAATTGCTCAAAGAAATATTTTCTGTAGTAACACACCTTACCATTAAATGTTCACGCTCCTCTGAGTTGTAGATTTGGAGCCTTTTGAAACCTGTTTCTATGAAGGCCTAGCTCATGCACTGCTAGGTGCAAAATGGCGGTCTGTCTCGTTTCCCGCCCAGAGGCGGATCGCTGTGGAGCGCACCATTCCAACCAGCCCGGTTAGACCGCATGGCTAGGGAATAATTTAGTTTTGGGAAAAGCAGACCAGATAGCTGTGTCAAACATTAAAATGTTGTGCTTTCTTCAGAACTAAAAGGAGTAGACCTGATTCAATGTTTTGATTGGTGTATTTCATTTTACCAAATGCCCATTGAAAAAGCAGTTTTAGCATCCTTTATTTGCATAGAACTTTTCAGAGGCTTTTTTTTTTGCGGGGGGAGGGGCGGGAACCCAAGGTTTAATTTAATGCCAACAAAGGCAGACACAGCTATTTGAATAAAATCACATCGAAACAGATTCGGAGTCAGATAATTCTCATTGTAACCATAGCAAAAGCTTCACTTGGTTAGATGCTTTGTTAATGTTGGAAAATTTTGTTTCAAAAAGGATTTACTTACAAACCTGACAATATTGTCTGTCATGTTATTTTGTAATTTCCTACCTTTGAAACGGAGATGCATAATTTTGTTTCCATTTATTTTGTTCCAGGTTTTTCGGGGAAATTATGTAGTAGTTTGAAAAGATAGCTTCCAATAAAATGGAAAAATGGACAAAATCCTGGGATTATTGCATTATTCATTTTGTTCCTAGGCTGCTGCGCACTTTGAAAACCGACAGTGTGGATGGTTAAGAAGTCACTGCCTTATTCTCCCCAAGCACTAGACCCTTCCCCACAGCCGGCCTGTGGAAGATGAGGATTTAGTAGCATTTTATTCTCCTGGTAACAGCCATTGGTCCACAATGTGAAATCATTTTAGCATGTTAAAGGAAACGCGTTTTAAAATCTTACCCCAGGGGTGTCGCCCTCTCATTTTCACAAAAGGAATCTAAATTCTTGGGACAATGCCTCTCACAGAACCGGCTCTTCTCCCTAACGTTTATTTAATGCCTGACCTAGCCTCACTTGTGAACCTTGTAATTTGCAGTCGTGTGAGGGTGAAGAAATTATGTCCCAGGGCGCTAGCATTTTACGTGCTGAGGTGGAACAGAGCTCACTTCGGGCATGCTGTAGGGCTGAGGGCACTGCATGCTTGTAAAATGCGTTGAACTGCAAGAAAAGACGAAGTTACAACTGTGGAAGTGCCACAAGCGCAGTTAGTGGCAATTGCGTTTACTGAATTACGCAGTTTTGATTTATTTTCTTTTACCCCAAACATGGAAGGCATGCACCAGGCACTTTTTCAGTGCGCCGGAAGCAATCTCATGCCTGAGAACCAGTCCTAAAAGTACTCAAGGCCTACATCCGCGCTACTCTTGCGGCTTCCACTTACTTATTCAAGACTTCGGGATGCATCTGCGCGGGTAGAGGGCAGCAAACCCTAAAGCTTCTTGGAAAGCTGGGAAGGTCGGCGGCCGCGCCTGGAGCTCGGCGGTTTGGGGGCGGTGCCAAAGTGCACCAATCACGGAGCAGCCTCGCTCTATAAATAGGCGGTACCAGGGCTCCCGCGCGTTCCTGTTCAGTGGGTCTTCTTTCTCTTTTTGCTTTTTATTCGTCATGTCCGAGACTGCCCCGGCTGCACAGCCGGCCTCAACGGCCCCCGAGAAGCTGGCGACTGCCAAGAAAGCTAGAAAGCCTGCCAAGGCTCCAGCAACCACTAAGAAGTCTGCGGGCCCTTCGGTGACTGAGCTTATCGTGCAGGCCGTTTCCTCCTCCAAGGAGCGCAGCGGGGTGTCGCTGGCCGCGCTCAAGAAGGCGCTGGCGGCCGCAGGCTACGACGTGGAGAAGAACAACAGCCGCATCAAGCTAGGTCTCAAGAGCCTGGTGAGCAAAGGCACCCTGGTGCAGACCAAGGGTACCGGCGCCTCCGGCTCTTTCAAGCTCAACAAGAAGGCGGCTTCTGGGGAGCCCAAGCCCAACGCCACGAAAGTGGCTACAAAGGCAAAGGCAGCAGGCGCTCCCAAGAAGCCGAAGAAAGCTTCCGGGGCCGCCGCAAAGAGGGCGGTCAAGACTCCCAAGAAGGCCAAGAAGTCCCCGCTGGCAAAGAAGCCTTCCAAGAGCCCAAAGAAACCTAAAGTCGTGAAGCCCAAGAAAGTAGCCAAGAGCCCCGCTAAAGCCAAGGCTGTGAAACCCAAAACACCTAAGGTGAAGGTGACTAAGCCGAAGGCTGCCAAGCCCAAGAAGGCACCACCCAAGAAAAAGTGAGCAGTCTGGTTGGAAGATCCTTCCGGTAACCCAACGGCTCTTTTAAGAGCCACCATTACATAGTTCAGAAAAAGAGCTTTTTGCACGCTTTGGCAGTTAAACAGCGTTCAGCTGGTGAGCTGGGGTTGATTTCCCTGTTAATCTGAAGCTTGAATTTGGCGTTTTCAGTGTTCCGAGAGCTACCAGTTCCGCAAGTCAGTAAATTCTTAGCCCCCAGTACATGAGAGTCACGGGGGGTTTATGGGACAGTTTAATTTATAAACTAGCTGATGGTAATTACGGTAAACTAGGTCCACCTGCTTCTGGCCTGAACAAATTAGTGTAAAGATTAAGGTCGCATTCTTGGGCCAGAACTGCTTAAGTAGCTGGAATGTGGGTGGGCTTGTGGGGCCACACCCTCCCCCTAGGTGTGGGTGGGTAGGGCTGGTCCTGGGAATGTGGGTGGCCGCTGCTGTGGTTGGTGTCCTTCAGGCCCGCCTCTGATCAGGCCTTATAGCTACAGCTAAGGACGTGGGTTCCAACGTCTTCTTGCCTACGGAGAGTGAGTGTACGTCTTTTCCTCTTATATGGATGCTGGATCTGTCAGATTAAGGCCCCGTCATTTAACCTTAATTACCTCCCTAAAGGCCCTGTCTAACTCCAGTTTACTTAGGGGTTACAGTTTAAATATGTGCGGTTGGGGATGCAATTCCACTCATGAGATTGTTTTATTTGCTGGTATAAAATAGTTTTTTTCTCTTCAATTCTGGCAAAAGCCTATATTGCCCAGTACATTTTATGTGTTGCAGATGTCTGACCTTTTCATGCTTTCAAAAATATCATGTTAATTTAATATGTTTAATATGTTAGTCACAATGCCCTTTTATACTAAAGCTTTTTCATGTCATGAGTCACTTTTCTTGCTGAGGTTCCTTTTTCATATTCTTGTGAAATTAGGGAAACAGTTACAGTTCTCAAGACTATCCACACTTCTAAAACCATTTTCAATTTGCTGGAGGTAGGTGTCCTAACTACCCTGCAGTTCAGTAATTTGCCAGAAAGATTCATTACTTAACCATTAGTTTATTGCTGTGAAAGGACACAGACTAAAAGCAGCCACTGAAAGAGGCACACAAGACAGTGTATGTACTGACCGGGCCCCTGTTCTCCTCCATTCTCAAGAAGACACATTTAATTTCTAACTCTTAGTACCTCAGAATGTGGCCTGGTTTGGAATAGGGTTGTTGCAGATGTCATTATGAGGTCATAGTAGAGTAGGATGGGCTGGTGACTTACAAGGAGAGCTGGTGTCCTTGTAAGATGGCCACGTGAAGACAGAGACACAGACTCATGCCATGGGGTGACAAAGGTACTGATCCTGCTCATGCAGCTGCAAGCCAGGACTCCCACAGATTGCCAGCAAACTACCAGAAGCTAGGAAGAGCGAAGAATTCCCCTCCAGGGTTCCAGGCAAGCACGCCTCTGCTGATTCCTGGACTCAAGATTTCTACTGTCCCTAAAACTGAAAGACAATAAATGTGTTGCTTTAAGCCACCCAGCTTTTGTCACTTTGTTACAGAACCCCTAGGAAACCAACTCAGGCACACTGCAGGGAAGTTCCAAATGTGAACTTCCAGGCTTCCTCCCCCAGTGATGCTATCTATGAACAGTGTCACTTCCCAGCGTTAAAGCTTGACGACACACAGTTACTGGCAACCAAGGAAGCTCACTGGGGCTTCAGTGGCTGGAGTTTTTGTTAGAATTCTGTGGTTGATTATTCACATGGCTGACCTTTAGCCTCCAGTCCTTCTAGAGATCCAACAGATACTGGTGACCTAAAACTCCCATTATGATCATATTGCTGACTATCTGGGGCCAATGACTCCAGGTAAATAAAGGGAGTCTAACCAGGTACGACATTCCAAGGGCCTAGAGGTAACCTCCAAGAAGTTGAGGGCAAATATCATACCTCTCTTTGATTAAGGTTAAATCCCCACTGTGTACTTTTAGAAGCTAGGCTTTACATTTAGATCTAGTGGGATTAATTGTCTGAGTACTGTTTATTTATAAAGTTCCTTTCTCCACTGTTTTATCATGACACTTTATTTAGGAAGCAGGGTACTAACATTTGCGTGGGCCTGCTCCATTGTCTCTTTGCACCAGTGCCAGGCTGTTTATTGTCAATTTCTCATTTTTGATTTTCTGTAGAACCTTGTATTTTTTTCAAGAATTCCCAGACTATGGGGAGGGGAGGAGGGGGTGAAGGGAGGGCAGGGACAAGGGGAAGAAATGAGAACCAAGACCTGTCATGTAAAGGTACAAGATCCCAATAATGAATAAGTGTACCTTATACCTAAAATGTACCAATAAACTCAATAAAAAGAAAGAAAAAAAAAAAGAAATCCCAGACAATTCTTGGTTCTTTATATTTGCATATTAAATACAGACCCCGTTTGTCAATTTCTATAATCTTGTTAGGAATGATTATGATTGTAATGAATTTATGGATCATTTGGAAACTAGTGATACCTTCAACATATGGAGTATTTCAGCCATACTTCTATTCCTTGTTATTTAGTTTTTCTGCTTAATTTCTAATTGAAAATCCAGACATACCAACAGAAAATATTAATAATATATTTATGGCAAAAGCACCAAAAGACAACTGTTAAACTGAGAAAAAGTTTGAAACTAAATCATAGATAGAAGCTAATACTATAATATATAGATACCTATATACTACTGAGAAAATACAAAAAAACTTAGAAAATGGGCAAAAGAAAGGACAGTACACACAAAGTGAAATTAAATATGGCCTCAGTCTTGTTCATAATAGGAGAAATACAGATTAAAATTAAGTTGGAACATGATTTCTAAAGCTTCAACTTGAGAAAAAAAATCCCAACTTGTACAAAAATCTCCAAATTGCGACTTTCTCTGTGACATGCTATGGGGAACAGACACTGTCTGTTACTATCAGCTGGTAGCATCCCTATGAAAAGGAATTTGGCAATAACTGGTAAGATGACCTAATCTATTGAGCCATTTAGCCAGAATTCCTACCTTTAGGAATCACTTAAAAGATACTAACAGGAAACAATGCTGAGTTGGGTGTGGTGGTATGCGCTTGTAATCCTAGGTATAGGGAGGCTGAAATGGAGGGTGGTGTCAAAAATTTGAGGCCAGCCTGGGCAATTTAGCAAGATCCTGTCTCAAAATTTTTTTTTTAAAAGGACTGGGAATGTAGCTCATTATAATGCCCTGTATTTAGTTCCCAACTACAAAGAACAAACAAAGCGCTAACTGAAGCATACGTACAGCCACTCACCACATACAGTACTATTTATTGTTCCTTTGGTTCTTTTTATTTCTTACCCCCAAGTTCCTCTGTAGTATTCTTTTCAAGGGAATAAGCTAAAATAGTGCTGTGTGACAAGAGAATCCCTTTAGCAGTACATTTAGACTCCAAGTAGTTACTTATATGATCTTTACTTTGTGCAATTGTGGACACACTGAGCTCAAACAAACATGAAATACAAGTCCAAAATTATAGAGCTCCAAGGCTGTCTTCTAGATTTCTAAGTAGTAAAGCCAATATCAAGGTTGTTTAGGAACTATCATGGACAGAGAAGCCTCAGGGTGGAAGATAGAAGGAGAAGCCAAGGGAAGGATCTCAGCATTGACAGTGGTACCTACCTGGAGAGGGGCAGATCACCTAGCAGGTCAGCCGCAGAGGGCCCTCTGTTCTTTAGAAAGAACCAAAGGGGAACGCTATTCATGTTTCTATGCTTGGTCCTCAGCAATATCTACCCTATATGTCATTATTTTTAAAAGGTCTACCAAAGTAAATACAATGTTTTATCCTCCCCTGAAACTAGAAACTAGTTTGTCTAGTATTAGGGCTTGGGAAGATAACTGGCTTCACACTGTTTGTCTTAGTTTGTGTGTGGAACTAGAACAGAATACCTGAGACTAGGTAATTAATAAACAACAGAAATTTATCTCTCAGTTCTGGAGGTTGCCCAAGAACACAGCACTGGCATCTGGTGTAGACCTTACTGTGTCATCCCATGGCAGAGATAGCAGAGAAGGGCAACAGAGCAGAAGGGATTGATTCACTTTGATTCCAAATCAATTCTCTTGATAACAAACTCATTGCCATGATAACATTAACTCATCCATTAGGGTAAAAGTCTTTATATTGTAATCATCCATTCAAGGCCCTCCTCTCAACACTTTGCAAAATTTCTAACACATGAAATTTGGGGGCTACTTTTAAACTATAGCATTGTCCTTCATCCTGGCTGATCTAGGCATCCCCTGTAGGAGAGAGCCAAGTTACAAAACCAAATACCAAAAGGATGGTAGTGATAGAAGTCAGAGCCCAGGAGTACCTACTATCCAATGTTAAGATACAGGTCTTGCCCAGAAATTGCCCAGGTCTTGGAGGTGGAAAGATCTATCACTTCCCGGACTTTGACTTTTAATTGCTTAATGTCCCAGGGATTTAGTTTTCCTGGTTGCAACCTGAGATATAATAATACTATCTTCACTTTACAGTACAGAAATGTATTGTCTGTGTTAAATGATAAAGAAGCCCATGGTTCCTGGGACACAGAGCTGTTTGTAGGAGCTGGTTCACAGTGGCTTGAAAGCCAGCTGAGCTGATAAATCACACATTTTGTGAACCAGTTGAATTGTTAAGCTCAGCAAGTGTTTAAAATCAAGTCATATAAACTTACAAATAACATACATATTTTAAATTAATAAATACCCAGCATTCCTAATATTTCACTACTATGGTTGTTGCTCACACCTCACATCTCCATGGTGAGCTACTGTGCATTTCTTCCCAACTCCATGCTAATCACACTAGTAGTCCATCTACTATGGTGGGAGTAATGGTGCAAAGAAATGGGCAAACACTACAAATTAAGGGGTTCTTAGTTTTATCTGACTATATATGGAATGAATACTAATTTGTCTTTTTGAGAGCTGATTGTCGGCTGTGGATGCTGGGCCACTGGTACTGGTATGTCTGTGGAATACAACGTGGCTGAAACTGTTCCTGCCAACTGTTGTTGCCAGGGTGAACCCTTGCTGTGGTGCAAACACAAAAATAAACAGAAAGTGAGTGAGAAGTCTCTCCTTCCAGCCCTGTCCTCTGCCAGAGCCACCTATTTGGGGATAGTTGGTAGCAAAGCACCACGGAAAAGGATCAAAGAAACTAGACCTTCATGGTCAGACAGGGTCACCTCTAATGATCTTAGGCTGCCTCATATTTCTTACTGTTCCATATAGTTCTGTTGTACCATTGTAAATAAAGTGTTCCATTCATTACATTCTCTTCCTATACTCTGTTGGTTTAATTTCTTGTTTTTGGCGTCCTAAGATGGCACTCTTTGATTTTACAGTAGTAAAAGAGTAAAGGATGGTGAACAGTTCATTTATTTTTCTGTGATATTAGAATTCAGCTCCGATGGCCTCTATAGTTCCCATGAAGGGATATGTGGAAATGAGGTGATCCCTGAAAGTGATGTAAAGGGCTGGGAAGAGCTCAGAGCTTAGAAAGCAGAATGTATGAAGCAGTTGTCAGATAGCATATTGGTCCCATGAAAGCAGAGCCTGCTTTTCACCATGGGGTCAATACCTATGCTGAAGCCCACAAAGTGGGTGCTTAGCAATATTAGGTGAATGAACCAAGTGGAAATAGAACAAATCTTAGAAACTCAATAGGACTAGTGGGCAAAGTAGAAAATCCAGGTGGCCTGGGCCCATGAATTTATACTGATCAAAAATCCCAAATGTGGTGCTTATCTTCTGATGTGTTCAAGCCGGTGGGTACAGAGGCAGGAAAGATAAGCTTGCTCACAGTCAAGGTACCACTGTGTCTGCGGACTGGTAAAAAACATGAAGCAAGAAATTGAAATCTGGAAACAGACTGGAATACTAATGAGGAAAGGGAGTGGACACGAGACAGAACAAAGATCTATTTTTAAAAGTCCTGCCTTTTCACCATGAGTATATTCTCTTATCAGACCTAATTCTATCTTCAATTGTCACTCAAATTTTGTTCCTTCTTTTATAGTAAATTTTTTCCACACCAGCACGAAACTTTTATTATTTCTTGCAAGTAAGTAACCAAGAGTGCTGGACCCATAACTGCCACTTTGAGCTGCAAATGTACCGGAAATCCTCTGGACAGATACTAAACAATTCTCCACTGAACATGTATGTGATTGAAATATAGGTCTTGGCAGCACCCTAAGCTCATTGTCTTAAATATTCAGACTTAAAAGCAACTGAGGTCAAGCATCCTAAAGTTGGAAACTTACTGCTTCCTTGCAGAGCCTTTCAGTGTTAGATCCTTGCAGTGTTAGATTCGCTAGGACCCATGTGCCCCTGACCCCCAGTATAACTAGGGAAACCAGCTATTTTGGTTTACATCTAGATGTCTGCTTAAAGCCTCATGGTACCCACAGGTGGACTTTTGGAAGAGGGTTGGATCATGCTGTAGCCAACTTGCTGTTAGGTAGTGGGGCCTGATACCACTGGGTCGCTGGGGATGTGATCTAAGGTGCATCTCCCTCTCTGGCTCCTCCCTTCTCTCTCTGCTTCTGGCTACCATGGTATCAGCAGATGTCCTTGGAGTCGGCCAAACATGGTTTGGAACTGTGAGTCAAAATAAACCTCTCCTTTAAGTTGTGGGTGTCTGCTATTTTGTGCTGGCAATGAGGAATGTTTCTAAGACATCAGCCAACTTATTCCTGAAGAAGAAACCATGTTTGTTCTCCCAGAAATGTTTGATTTTTAAGTCCTGCGTGCTATTCATTTATCCCTCTGAGAGTTTGACTTATGGCCCATCTTGCCAAATACAGGGTTTAACTAGGGGAACTGTAAGGCAACTCCATCATCCTCCAGTTGTAGTTTCAATATTTCCTTCAGAATTACTGCTAAACTGTCTACTCAAAAGAGAGAACCCACTTAGCTACAGACCGTAACTGCCTGTGGAAGCTTATCTTTAGTTTGTGCAGCTTCAACATATACTGATTCACTAAATCCCTATCCCCTCTCTGAATTTCTGCTCAGTTTCTGTTTGTAGCCAACTTTCTCCAGCCTGCAACTGTCTCTTAGCCTGTATCTCCACTAATCAATCAGACCCCTTCCAACTGCACCTAGGGCTCCTAATCTACTCCAGGATGTAGGCCGAGAATGTTAATCT